GTAAGAAGTGATCCCACTTTGAAGCAAATCGGTTCAAAGACTAAGAAAGATCGAGAAAAAAGTGTGGATATTTTGTAAATCCCCCTTGATTTAATCCCGCCAGTAAAGGTAAGAAATGATTACTGACCATATTAGTAAAGGATGGACCAAGTTCCGAAACTATGCGCAGCTGCTAACTCACTTTCGGGAAGCATTTTTCATACAAAATAAAAAAGGAGAGAATAAAGAGAGGCCGCTTTTTAGCTCAAATGAGACGAAAATGAAACAGGGAAGGTGCGAAATGGAAAGGAAGGGGAATGTGTCGAATACCCAGCAAATGGTTACCATATTCCATCTTATCCTAAGATAAGAAAATGGATAGAGGTACCTATTCCGGCGGCTAAAATAGGAACAAGGGATCTGTTTAAATTTTCGGTAACTGTTTTCCCATTCTATCCCCTTACAAACGATAGGGAGGTACCATAATCTACATAATCAAGGGCGGTTATCATCATTGTTTTGAATTTTCACATTCTAACGCATGAGGAAGGAACAACAAGACTAACTGACAAATTTTTACCTGATTCCATTTTATCACAAGGAGAGAAAAAGACCACAATGTCTGTCTATACGATGATCGTTTTCAAAAGGAAACCGTTTCTTCAACTGAAAGTAATGTAAAGGCGACCATGGAAGAAAGCCAGCAAATAAGCTAGGCGAGTGGTAGACATTTCCTCGATCCACTCCTACCACATGGTTACAGAATACAACGTGGAAATTATCTCGAATAAAAAATAATTTTTTTGCACTACTGAGATAGAACTGAGAGGATGAGAGGAGGGAGATGAAAATAAGACAAGTTGGACAGATTACCCTGCCTAATATAAGGGGTAGCAACTGTTTGTGCTGCTGCTTCTGATACCGTTTCGTAGCATTAAAAGCAACACACACATATATGGGGAGGAATGAACACCAAAACAAATGGCAGACAAATTCGCATAGGCAAAAGCAGTGACAGAGAGGCAGACAGAAGACGCAGCCGTTGGTTATGAACGTAGAAGCAGCACTGGTCAGCCTTCCCGACGAATCCGCGATCAATCAAGACCGGAGTTTGATATGGGTTAACAGCTGAACTCTCGGGTTCTCGGTCTCCTTAGGGCTAAGTCTCGCACTCACCAACTGATTATCCTTTCATAGTCTCCATAAAAAGCCGTCAATTTGGGAATTAAAAGTGGGCCAGCGATGTGGATACTGACAGATGAAAAGATTTTGATTGACATTGCTGAACAAGTGGAAATAAAGCAATTTTCATGGAGAGCAACATACAGATACGATGAGACATTCACGGGGAGCATCCACCGACTCAATTCCGTGCAGATGCAATTTTTTTTTGAGAAATAACGTCTTCGGATTTTATCCTAAATATGCCACATTTGTTTCTTTCGACAATTCCAAATTCACGGCTCTTCAACTTTACAAACCCATCAAAAGCGGGTGATAAAAATTGCACATTCCTGTGGTTCTCCTTCTGAGGACCATGAAGCTTTAGGCAAGGAAGGGAAATATTCACGTTCTTACCAAAAGTGCAGACATAGGGGAGCGCACAAATGCCTCTTACAGAGGCAGCACAGAATGATGCCGTTAAAAAACGGTAGTTGAATGCGCTATCCCGCCTGTCTTTTTCCCTCAATAAAACGCAACTGAAGCCGCCTTCTTGTCTGCGTTAAATCGACTCGGTGATGAGGTTTAACACTGTACGTTCCGGTAACCCGTCTAAACAAGCAAATCAGTGGCTTTTTTATGAAGTAATATATTTTGAAAATTGGAAAAATCTTGATTACATCAGTGGCCAATTTGCTGAAATCGTAGACTGAAAATTAAAACTGATTTTTTCGCTTTAAGTTTGCTGAGGGGCTTTACCTTGCCTTTACAAGAAACATGACATTTGGGGCTGACAGTTGGGAAAACAGTGAAAGTTTCTTTGCACTCCCTGACCCGTTCCGCCTCCGGTCCACTGTGGATAAAGTCACGACTTACTGCCCTTGGGTGAATCGAGGGGCAATGGCGGTAAGACCCTCGTCCCCAATCTGTTCGGCGCTTGGGAAATGGAAAGAAGGGGCAAATTAAATCAACAGTAGGACAAATTTGTGGAACGGGCTCCCAAATGGTGCTAGAAGCGTTGACAGCGAATTTCCATTCAAACCTACTTCAGACACAAGAAACTAGAAGAACTCAAATAATCACAGGATTTGAATTCGTTCCTTTCTTGTAGAACCTCTTACAGCTCCGAACAGAATAGCGAAAGAAAAATGACGTCCAAACGACTGCACAGTTAGAGGTAATACATTTTCATGAACCCGCCATAAAATTTAGGATAAAATAGGAATCAGTAAAGGAACCACGAAAAGGAGATTTATGGTGCAAAGAAGCCGTTCATATCGTAGAACAGTAAATGGAATGCGGACGCATTTTTTTCCAAAAATTTGAATCAAAACCGTCAAGTAGAGATGGCATTCCTATTGTTTACGCCAGCAGAAATACCTTCATTTTTGGGGGGGGGGGGGGGGGAAATATTTGTTTAAATTAAATGGGAAAACAGGTGCCCTATTACGGTTGGACAATTGAAGAAGCTACGCAGAGCAAGTGAGATCCAAGTCAATCGAGTGCAGAGGGAAATTCAGGTAGAGGAAATGGGTAAAGGGTCAGAATCGAGAATCCGATGAATACAGAGATTACAGAAACCCTAGAGGATCTAGAAACGGTTCCGCTGATTCGGTATGGATCTCATCACCTTACGAGGTCACTTCTAATTCAGATACAGAAAAAAAATGGACTTGGAAAGCTGCAAAATCCGTCAAAGAGTGCGATCGAAACAGATTTTTAAAATTTTAGTGCATTTGAACTTCACATTTACATTCACTACTTGAGAAAATAAATGAAAAAGGAAAGCGATTGATTCTTGAACCTGCACCAAAATTTGCCAGTTCCTAGTCTCGGCTATGGCAGCCCCTATCGCATCCAATCGACAAGTCAAAGGAGAAACGATAAACGTCATAAAAAAGAATGCAATCTCCAGGATAAAAGAAGGTTTATAATAGTCTTTTTTTATAGTTCAAAACAAGTTGATCAGTCATCCAAGAGGAGAGGGAGAGAAGACAAGAGACAAAAATCCTAGAACGAGGAGGGCACGTAAATTTCAGTGATTTGTGGTTTTACCGGTGCGCTTCAGATAGCAAGGAGGGCGGAAAAAACAACAAGAAATAGAATGCACACAGGCCAACTCGTTTGGTGCTACCACCGGTGTGGTTTTCAGTCCTCCTTTTCACCTCAAATTTCCCCATCTGAACTTTTACAAAGTTCTTAACCGCACAAACAGTCCATAAAACAGTGACCTCCGAAAAAGGCAGCACAGAATCAGATCCTCGAGTTCACATACAGAATCTTGGAAGAAGTTGATACATACACACCCACCTCGAATGTAGAATGCATGTGCGCGAGATCGGTTAAGGGAATAATAAAGGCTGGAAAGGGCAACCAAGATCCCCAGAAAGGTAAACAGTCAGGTTACTTGGGAGATCCATTGAATTTTTCTGGTCGGCTGGCCACTTGGGGTAGTGCTAGAAAACGTTTTTAAGTCTTCGGTCTTAATTGGGGATTAAAAAGAATCATTGATATTGAGAAGACTGTTCCTTGTGAATAGTCTTACAACTTTAACCTCCATGGCAGACTTTCTTGAATGGAACTCCTTTAACCATTTCGCAGCCGCTTCTACTAAAATACTCGCTTTAACCGAAGGCTAGAGGGAGAGTTTCCTTGAAGACGTTGAGGCACAAGAGGGTCAAAAAGTTAAAACTGCTGTTGTGAGGATCGAATTGCAGAAAAGTAGGCTTGTCAATAAGGGAAAATGCATCTTGTAACAATAATTCTGGCTCAAACTTCAACTAGCAGTTCAAATCGGTAGGTTGAATCTGCATTAATCCGGCCTGGCGCCATATCCAAGCCACATACGTCTTGAGACAGTAGTGAGTGCGTAAGTGAGTGAGCGGGCGAGAGTGAATAACTGGGTTGGGGAGTGAATATTGTTATTACGACAACGTCTGATAAAACCGTCAACCAAGCAGCGCTCGCGAAGATGGCAGTTGATCTCCGAAGTCGTTATTTAAGACAGCTTCCAAGTGACTGACATCGTGATGGTATTACTCGATATAACTATCGGGCAAAAAGGATCCGCTGACCCTATTATAAAGCGATAGTTGACAAACAGGAAATAATCGAGTTGTATTAATGAAAGGGACTGAATTCCCTTTACCTTTCGCTGAACCATCAACTCAAAAATTAACACCGGTATTTTAACACTCAAAATGGAGCACATGAGATCCTTGAAGGCTCAAAAAGGCCTAGGAGAAGATGGCGCAATCACGCGCATGCGAGCATGTGTAGGGGTTCGAAGCCCTCCTCGCAACGCATTCGCGTTCATTGAGCGCATGAGCCAGCACAAACGAGGGAGAGAGGAGGGAAGGAGAAAAAACCCAGCTCCCGTTAACTCCTCCTCTGGTTGGCTGGGCGGGCAAAGTACTTCCATACGCACAATGCAAAACACGGCGCCTGTCCACTTTCTCGCTTCCCACTTGCCTGCTTGCCTCACTGACACTGCATTTACACCGAGAGACTTAGAACAAATTAATCCATTCGAGTGGGCAAAATAGGTGTTGATTAAGTAGCTATGTTAATTCAGAGTTAGGGAAGCAATTCAGTACTATAATTGATACGATTCTTACGTACGGATTTGCTTACGGATTTGCCTCTACCGGTCTATAGCCTGTGCATTTCAGCAAAATCACCAAAAAAACAAGATGAGCCGACTTCCTTCCAAACAAATACATCGCATGTGGGTTACGCTGTTAGCAAACTTGTTAAGAATGCTCATACCAATTCTACTTTCCAACTGGCTATCCTATTATTTCCTCAGGGATGATTCCACTACTAAAAAGAAGATTCCAATGGGGTAGAAAATAAAGTACCCCATTCCCTTTCTCCACCAGCAAATCGTGTGGGATCCTCCAGCGCCATAAGGAGTTGCTGTTGCATGCGTTGGATGTCGCGCAGATGCACCACCCAGGCGGAGCGCGTGGCGACAGTTTGGGGGTCAATGATGTAGATAACATCACGACCCGGTGTCTGGTCCCACAGCGCAAAACGCAGATCGTCCGACGCCACGAATTCCAGGGCCGCACGCACCGACGCCCAATCAGTGCCGGAATACTGTTCATTTCCCGATACCATCGTCGCTCCAGCTGCGCCCATCGGTATCGCATCCGCTACTCCCGCTCCTGTAGCTTCCGTCGTCGCCGGCTCAGACGTGAAGGTGCACATGAACCAGTGTGGCTGTGAGAGACAAGAAGGGGCTGGCTGAGAAAAATTGTCCTGCTGTAGCCAACTTGGTCTCTAAATCTTCAGCCATTTTTCGATTATATTCGAAAGGCGACTAACCTCTATCCATCAAAATACGGCGATTCAGATGCCCCTCGTCGGAATTATTCTTATCTTTCTCGAGGAATGTAGCAATTTGAATAGCGCTGATAGAAAGTGAACTTGTGGTTGTACTCAATTGTTGCTGGGTACGCTCCGGTAGCAATATATGGTATTGGTGTTGATGTGGCGGACGTTCAAGTCAAAGCATGACTTATGATTTTGTAGATGTAGAATGGGTGTCACCGAGGTCAGGTCACATCCTGTTAATCAAGACAGCAGCCACGGTGCCATTGAATGTGTTTGTCAATGGAAGCGGAGACTATGAGTACTCGATAGGACAAGGGGATGGTAGATAGCGTTATAGCACGTTATACCATGCATATTCGTTCCGATCATGGCAGCTACAGCATATTAGTCATTTCTGCGATTGAACATTCAGCGTATAGAACGTCCCTTTGGTTTTTGATGTCTATTCTACCTGTACACCCCTGTGAAATTTCAAGGGAGATGACCTGCTCTGTGGGAACGATGGAGGCAACTTTCCACGATTATTTGCAATTTCCGAGAGTTAGCAGATTCTGGGTACCAAGACGGATCTCCAGACCACCCCATACTACTCACCGCAGTATGTACGCACAACACCGTTGCGAGTGAGACATATTAACACCTCTTCCTCACATCTCAGACCTCGCTTCAAGAGATTTCCACCTGTTTTGACCGTTTGATTTTTTTGCCGTTTAATCAACACAAAACCTTCCATGCCAAAGCTTTGTGGATGTTATTTCACCGCTGAGATAAGTTTATGAAATCAGCAAGGGACTGTGTAAAAAGTTAGCTGAATCGGTGCTCCTTGAAAGTCGTTCTTCCTTTTTCCCCATTGACCTACAAAGTCCTAACTGGGCCTGAACGATCTTCGTGGGAATGGAAAGCCATTCCAATAATGGCAAAATCTTAATAACTTATTGGCCAAGAAGACTACTGGTAGAATTTCCTCCAACTTAGCGAAACAGAACTGGTATTGTACATGTAAAAAAAATAGGGCCCTTATCATCTTTACCCAATGACGACTACTCTAGATACGTCCTGCTTAAGTCAAATTTCGGGCTTGATTTGAATAAAAACTTACACACACGCATAAGGATTGACGCAGTAAGTCTACCTGGCAAAGCTAGGTTCTAAAAGAAAATCGACCGCAGGCCACTGGATGTTTTATTCAGGGCGGCACTCCGCTGAAACTAAAGGACATGCAAATATATTTACACCGAGTAAATCCTACACCTGTTTGGGTGTGTGTAACCCAAACAATCTGTTTACAATCCGACCTAGAAAAAAACAAAAGTACACGTCACACGTATATGATGCTGACAGCGACTGCGTTTGGCCCAAGCTGTTCATCACCGACGGTGAGGCCATATGGCATGACGTATACGATATCCTTGGACGCCTGGCCAGATATACCAATCGCTCTAATCATATTCCACTCTAAAAAGTGCTAAACTTTGAGATAAAAACGATTTTTTCATCAGTAACAGACAGCCTAAAGCACCAAAAAGTTCTTAAACGACTAGTAGGGATGACCTGCTACGATTCCGACGCAACTATAATTAAGGTCGGCAAATGAATCAGTGACAGCAGTAAGATTCGGTGTAATTCCGATTCCAACAATATAGGAAGGTAAGGAAGTAACAATCGTACGGTTTCACAGATTTCATTAAAAAAATTAAATGAGTGAACTTCGAAAGTATCAATTGACGCTCTGGTTTAACCAGAAATCGTCTTCCGTACCACTGCAACAGAACTACTCTTATTCTACTTTACAACTACGAAGACTCCTTAGTCCTTGCATTTTGCATTTTCTTTGCGATGCCACGCCTATGGCCTCCAATCCTTCTTCCGTACTGGTAATGGCTTATTACGCTTTCAGAGGTGACTTGCGGCACCGCATCGTAAACTGATCACAGGGAGCAAGTGAAAAGTCCCAATTCAGGAAGTGAAAGTGGGGTTTCAGCATAAACTCAAGTATACAAGGCCATATCGCTATCCACTAGCCGAAGACAGCAAGCCCCGTTCAATGCGTATTTATAAACAAACAAACCGTAGAATACTACCAGGGAGTATGATTACGGAATTTTCACATCCAAACCGTCACCGAGTGCACAAAACCATGATCTTACCAAGTAAACTCGGCTCGCACACTCCGAGTGTTCCATTGTTCTAACAAAAAGTGTACTATATGCATTTTACTGTTTTTAAATCAAACTATCTGTCTACGATGCACGACTGGACGCCAATCAGGTTTCAAAAACGGAGGAAGGTCTCCTGCCATACACCCGTAAAACGGATAGAAAAAGAGTTAACTCGCCAGGCTAACTAACAATTTTAGCGATTACAACTAGCAAACCTGATGCTGGTGGTTTTAAATTCGACGGCTATCAGTGTATCTCCAAGAGCGTTGAAGTGTTTAGCCGTTGGCAAACTAGTTACCACCCCGGGTCAATTGTCTGCGCTTTAAAATAATTCCAACGAGTCCAAATAGCAGAGTCAATGTTGTTAGTCTTATATTCGACGGCTATCAGTACGAACATGTTTTCTATAGCAATTAGATGCCTAGCTGTTGGTGCAGAAGCGCTTCATAATAGCGCACGTACACAAAACTGACGGCGAATGAAAAACGGCCCCAAGTGGTTGGCTTATTTTTTGGGGGAAATACATGTATGCAAAATCGCACCTCAGTGTAGCGGAACCACACACATCCATGCACAAAAAAATGTAGAAAATCTCCTTGATAAGTTCGTTAGTTTTTCAATCCAAAAATGGCTTGCCGCTCACCTCAAACTTCATCTTGTTGACATTGATAGCAGCCCTAAATTGATAGGTCGACTGCGCAAAGGCGTCTGCACTTGTCCCCTTTCGTTTGGCCTTCACCTCCTCCGTTACGAGGAGCATACGATCGAAGAGAAAGAGCCGCGAGACTACAAACTTCTGGCCTCCTGGAAGTAATGGCGGCGGTGGCTGTGTCTGAAAAACCTCCCCCACCTCCAATGAGCTTCGACTTTTCTGGTGCAGCGGTAGAGACGGAGGTGGTAGGGGTGCAGTCGAAGCGTTCGGCGCGAGCGATGTAGGCTCGTTGGCGAAGGTGAAATTCACTGGGCCGGTGTCAGTGGGAGCGGCAGTGGTGGTAGTGGTGGCGGGCGCCTCTGCCTCTTCTTCAGGTGTGGAGGAAGATTGGAGATGCAGTTTGGTAAGGAGGGAGAGGCCTGAGGAGTTGCGGGAGGCTGGATTAGAGGGGAGAACGTTGAGAGCTTTGGCGTAGGAGCGCAGCGCTTCAGCCAACTCCGAGCGAGACAGCGAGGCAACCAGAAGGTCTCCGCGAATACGCAGCGTTCCTAAGGCAGTTATTACCCCTGGAAATCCGTCAATTCGGGCTGCCTGTGGGTTTGAGAAGACAAATAGATGATGTTTCTAATGATCAAGGAAAGTTTGCATGCTGGCCAATGGCTTTGAATAAAGGTGCCGCTCTGAGAGGCGACTTCAATCTAACCACGTTAGAGGTCAAGTCGAGTTCACGGTTGGAATGGGAAAAAACGACTCCTAATTGCAACGCTTTTTCGAACTGCCTAATCTCCTTTCTCAGAGATGCAGTTCCATGAATCGCCTATTTCTTCTTCACATTTTCATAACAAAGCTCCATTTTAGTCGTTCGTTCGATTCATTTCATTATAGCCACCAAGATTAGACAACCCACTTCCAATAGACTTTGGAGTATGGAATTGGCACTCGGCTCCTAATCCATTTCAACAGCGATCATTTAATCCAACCGTGGGAAATGTGAAGCTTAGCATCAGCACCCGCACAGTAACTGATCTTGTTATTGAGGGCTTGTCAGGCAAAATAGGCACTACTGTCAAGTGAATTAATCAGGTAGGGTTGAGAAACGATCATAAAACTAGGTGAACTCGTACCAGCGCCTAGCATTTAATGCGGGACCAAATGGATTTCTCTTGGGGTATTTCTAAAGGATGATGAATTGAAACATGTAGAATATGTCCTACTGTAAGGGTGGGATATGAGTATTCGCATGGTTTTCTTGCTTAACATCTACTTTGTATCTTTGAAAAATGGGAAAAGCAACATCTGCTCGACTTGAAGGAATGAGTGAAAATTAGACGAAATCCAGGAATGCTGCAACGCCAGCATGCATAGCGTCGTTACCGCAGTCGCGACCAGAACCTCTACTTTAACCTTGAGGCGCAGCGCCACAAATGGTATTCGGATGCCGTTTGTTCTTTTTACCTCAAAAGCGTAACTCCTTTTCGTTTGCCGCCTGAGATACTGTCACCGAAAGACATAATGAAGAGGTCCGCAGGACAAGCAAAGACTTGTTTTGGACTTGAACTGAATGTTGAGCACGAATTGAAGCTCGGCAGGCTGACAGATAGCGGTCCACGCTGAATAAAGCATCAGACATGACAGTTTCCAGCATCCCGACGCCAAAGAAGATTGTTCTATAGCATCAAAAATAGATGCTGCAGACGCATGCCCATATCAAAGCGAATTCCAGACGTAGAAAATAATTTCAGCTGAAGAGAGCAATTCGGATGCTTTCGCCTTCAAGTTTCACACCACTTTTTGCCACATCTGAACTCCAAAATGAAGGCTTCACATGCGAGTGGCAGTGCCAACTTCAATTCCTTTCTTGCCGTCACAGGTGAGCGTGAGGCCACCGTTTCGTGTGAAACGCTTATCACACACAAAGAACCGCAAAAACTGACGTGCATTTTGGAATATTCGCATGAGAGTATAAAAAAAAGAGGCAACATCGTGACCCACACAAATAGACGCTGCCAGTGCCATCAAATTCTGGTTCGCAAACACGACCGCTGCCAGAATCGTTGACGAAAGTCGAGTACTTTGGTCCACGAAAGGCGTGTACTATTTATAGTTATGGTATCTGAAAGGTTATTTTTAAAACAAGGCGGTTATCCTTAGACCAAGGAAACACGTCATTTGCAGACCTCAATCAGTTGTTTGGAGCACATCAGCTGGTACAATCAAGTGTCAGAAAGTGGCAAATGATTGCATAGTTCATACATTTGTGATGTTAGAAGGAGAAATGTTAGAAGCCAGGCCAATTTTAATGGGTTTCCTCATCATCATTTCAAAATTGCGCTAGCGCCGCGATCAAAACGAGTGATTGTGAATACTCAGCCAGATTTGATGGTAATTGGCATTAAAATCGGCGACAAAATCTACTCTCTCCAAGTATTAAAACAAATAAAACAGTTCAGTAATGCTGACTGCCCTTTGAATGCTTCTTACACGAATGTGCCTGACTTCTCACCTCAAGACGTGTCCAGGATGCGGGGTTTCTTGGAATGCTAAATCACTTATTTCCATGCTGACAAGCTAACTTGTAGACCTGCTATTTAAGGCTGACTTCAGTGGAAAATCCAGGGCCCACTGTTGTTAGTTATTTGATGACAATCGGCAGAGAGGATACGAACCTACACATTAACAGGCCACCTGAAATCCCCTAATTGGCAGTTTATAAGAAGCCACAGACAGGTAGTGGCAAAAAATAACTTCTGTTAAGAAACTTGTACTCAATCGAAAGCCGCTTTTTACCTGTTGTCTTGGCAGTAACAGGGGATTGACGTTTCTAGAGGTGGCGGTGTTTAGTACTTTTTCGTATTATTTCAGATAACTAGCGGTTAAATATTTGAATTCCCGAAGAAAAAGCCAGTGACAACTCGTCACAGAACGACAGTTCCGCTATTCCAGCAGTGGCTCGTTTGGATCCGCAACAAATTCTATGATCTGGAAAACATTAAACTGACCGGCACGAAGTCTAAAGTGGTTCTAAAACACCCCGAAACTTCTCCAAAAGAGCACAAACTTCCAAGACAATAACCCTCTTAAAGATCAAGACCGTTCTGCTTGAAGGAAAGTGAGGAAATCCTCAGGTTCAATGGGCTATTGATAAGGTCAGTTTTTTACTTCCACTAACTACCAATATCCGGACGTTTTGACCTCACTGACCCGTACTTTAAAAGCACAGGGCATCATGCAGCTGCACCTCTTAAGGACAGGTGGACTTTTCACAGAATACGAGTTATTGCTCCTTTCATTTCGCTAAAAGCAGGAGCCAAAATGAAATGTTGGTCAAAGGGAAGCCTATCAGCATTGTCATCTTGGAGTATATTGTAATATGTATAATGCGTTACGTTTTCTAGGAGAAAAATTGGTCGAGAAGGGTATAAGGGGCTCGCTGGGCTATTGCTTGGTCTCACACGAAAAGACAGAGAGTATTGTCATTTCAACGACTTCTGTTGGATCAAGGATACCTCACTACGGTGTGGCAAATAAACTATACCGACTTCTACAAACTGGAAGAATCGCTGAAAAGCCCATTCTCTAAAGGACGTGATTCCAATTTAGTGGCATTTCCACTTTGCAACTGTAGTGGATTGGACCTCCACGCTGGTGCCGCCCATGCCAGTACCCCCACTTCCTCCCCAAGAGATTTACTTCCAGATCTGCTAAATAATAACACGATAGGAGAAAAGACTTTCCATGGTGTGTAAAGTAGATCTTGTCCTTTTGTAATCATTTTTTCTGCCGATCAAACGTGTGAAGACGGTTTGACTTGATTCAATTTGACAGTAAAATTGATGACTTTGGAAGTGAAAAACCGGAACATTTGTTTAAATGTTAAACTTTTTTATCTGAACAAAAAATAAAAAACTCGGCTACACGTGTTTTCCTTAAAAATCAGTTCATTTTCTTTTGTTTTACCCCATCCCGAAATCCCAAAAAAGTACAAATACAAGACCGAGGTACAGCCATCGAGAGCGAAATCAAATCTGTCAAGGAGAATGATGAATTACTCAGAATAGGAAAACAAGTAGAAAGGGAGAGGTGGTTTGCGCTTTTGACACAAAAAAGGCCCCACCCAACTGCATTACATTGCCCTTTAAATTCACCAGTCTAGGACTGAAAGAAGTAAAAGTTACTGCTACTGCCCCCGCCACTACTACTACTGCTGCTTCTGGTGGTGCTATTTTTGGATTTATTTACCAAGGCGATGCCAAGGCAAGGGGGGAGGGAAGGGGGGCAGATAAGGTGGTGAGGAGAGAGGGAGAACGAGATGGCTAGTCAACTAGCCAACTGTGGGAAACGGAGTGATGATGCGAGGCTCTCGTTAAGATTTAACACACTCCCACACATAGCATACACCGCACTTAAAATTAATGAAGGCGTAGAACTGAAGACGCTTTACCTTGCCGCTATGGTGCTACATGAGGGGGAGGATTTAAGGCAGCCTGAAAATAGGGATATGCGTAGTAATACACCTCTGCTCATCAAAAATCACGTGGCGTATGACTTCATCACTTCAGGAGAACGTGTAGCAGTTCAGCATTCGAAATACAGAAGCGATTTTCCCCTAGTGTATTGATAGAACAAGGACACCTTTGGTTGGGGTTAATGCGATTCAAGAGAGTAGGAATGGAAGTAGCCACGCCCATTCATCTACCAGTCGTTGATTCAACTCTGATTGAAAAAAGGCCTTTCGTCCAGATGTGAGGCTGAAAGGAAGGACTCTAGTGTGCGAAAATGTTAAAAGTGTTTAAGGGGCGTCCAGAAAATAGGGCTCCACATCGTAACACCTCAGCCCGCCCGGTTGTCCAAGTGTCAGTTGGTGAGAAATGGCGAGAGCAATCCGCCAGTGGGAAGGGGCGAATGCTCGAGGCTAAAATGATGTTTCTGTTGGGTCATTGGTAGCAAATGAAGAACACTATACATCTATAACTGAAAAGATAGCCGATTTTACCATTGCAATAAGACGAATAGATATCAGACCGTGGAGAAACGAGTTATTCCGCTCTTGTTAGGTGACGAGGCAGTATCCTACTGCATCACTAGAAAGGGAGATTTTGACCAACAAAGGTGTGAAAGGCGTTCAGTTAGGGTTAAGGGAATAAGAGCATACACTGAGACACTTGTCTACCTGCCGATCATCAATAAGGGGAGGAAATTTAACGACGCAACGATACTGAAGGGTAGGGGTGACTGTCTACGATGAGGCAATAGAGTAAAGTGGAACAGCCTATGACCCCACCACCACCAGAAAACCACTATTCACCATCCAAAAACCGTAAAAAATGACTACCCGCGCATTGGCTAGGAAACGACTTTTCCAGCACTGATTCGCGTTATCACCAATGCTAAGGTAATAAGACTGGGCAAGCGAACTTTGACCTCAGTCCTAAGTTGAGGCGAGTCATGTTCGTAGTGAGTATCTAAAGACGCGGCGGAGGTGAATATCTTCGTCCAAGGTTGGACTAGCCAAATACAGGTACACAGGTACAACCTCGACATGCTCCTGTCAATATCAACACCAGACCCTAGAATAGTACCGTGGTGCAAGTTAGATAAGAAAAAAAGGAATTCCCTGTCAGAAATACATGCGTCAACTGGATCACTGCGTATCATCGTTTTGCCGATGGAGCGATGTAAAGCAGTTAAATTTAAATTCATATAACTCCACGAAAAAAAACCCTGGCATAGGGTTTGATTGTATTAGGTAAAAGAGGGAAGGAAATAACACGATTTCCTCTTTAATTATCACACCAGCTTATCACTTTAGTCTTTCCTTTTACAATCTATCTATAAGCATCAGTATATATTTCAAGTCCGATAGCATACGAGTGTAATATGCGACCAGGATAGCCCGCTTAATTTCGCTTAAGCAAAAGGTCCCCGAGATGATTCAAGGTGGCATTGCCCATTATCATTGAATTGACGAGTTGTGGACAAAAATTCCGATGCTACACGACGAATAGAGAAGGCTTGACAAAGCGCAGTGATGAGAAAGCTTCAGAATTAGTTAGCATTGCCTCGACGGTGGGAAAATACAACAAGCATTCTTTACGAATTCACAGTAGAAGACGCGCCAGTGTGTTAATGTGTGCACTAATAATGTGAGCCCTGCTCAAGAGCCATCAACCTGACGGCATTGACAGACAACAAAGAGAGTGCGCCAGAGCTATTCACTATGCAGCTCGGTTAACATAATCAGTGCAAGGCTCAATCACCCGCAAGAGAGCAGAAAAAGGAACTAATTGTCACGGCTATTGCTTACCACTCTCTCTCTCTTCCCCCCGACTGCGCATATGTACCCACTAACCTGCATACCAAAAGAAGGCGCGTACGGAGAAGAGAAACTAAACCTTACACAGAAGCGACCATTCAGACAGTAGTGATCTTTGTGCTTTCCACCTGATCTACGGATGATTCAACTATGAATTTGCTAGATGGGTAGCAAGTGAGGCAAATAGGGTAAGACGCCAACGCCTTTTAGTTATGAGGGATGAGATGCTGAGAGGCTTGTGGCGAAGGCATTTACGGTGTACTTTTGAGGGGCTTCGCATCAAAGTGACACCCGAGATCAAATAAGGGGCTACTTTCAAGGCTACTTAGAAAATGAGTTTTGCACAAATGAATGATCCAAACGAAACACTAAGATCGTAAATTTGGGGAGACTAAGTCGTTCTAATAAAAAGAAATAAAGACATTATTAGTTTACCAAGGAGATGTAATTGGCAACTCGGTACTGAGCTCGTTAGACAGGTTGGAATCACAGATCTCAGAAAGCATCTCCGCTTCAGTAAAATCGGGGAACCTATCCGGATAGGATTTATGCTTATGCCATGATAAGCCGAAATGTCGAGAATAAGAGACTGAGAATCCTGAAATGAAAATATCCAGGATGTGTTTAAAGTACTCCTACAATAAACTAAATGTTTTTAATGAAAAGAATGCAAATTTCCTATTTCTCTTTTAAGCTAATTTTTGAGTGACTGCGAGAATGACGTGAGCATTCAATATAGCTGCCAAAGGAGACGGAGCCCCCCTCCCCGCCACTCTCTTCCTTATTTCGAAGAGTTCCTCAATTATTCTTGAAAAGAATAATCAGTGTGAAGCCAAGCCAACACAAGAAAGTCGATTATTTACCTGAATAAGGTCAGTGAAAGTTGAATGTCATAAAAGGGGGACGACGCATTCACCCTTTTAAGATGAGAGATTCTATCCGTCTCAGGAATCAATAGCTGCTAAACACCAGCTTTCTGCATCGTCATAAATGCGTTTGTTTAACCCAACCGAACCTGCTAGGCCGTCCCTCCCTCCCTCCTCCCTGGTTGCATAAATCGCCCACATTTGAGTTCAGTTTCCCGAGAGTCCTGTAATTTTGGACACACTTATGAGTACCCAAGTTATGATGCGTGTGTGTGTGCGTGTGAATGGGTCAGAAGGAAGGCGGCAGGACTACAATTTGCCTGAGCTTCTACTCCCCTTTGAAGTAGGGTGGAAGGTATACATTTTACTTTACTGATCCTGTTCTTTTTTCCTCGGTGGGATGTTAAGCATGATTGAGCAAAGGTAGGAGATAGTTCAGCATACAATGACGAAAAACACTTGCCAGAGGTGAAATTAACACCACCGCGAGCAGCCATCAACATGCTACCCTCCAGAATTTGTGATCTTGCCTCATGGGAGGCAAATATAGTGAAAACTGTACTTAGAAGAGTCATTTCTGACAAGAGCATTACGAACAAAGTCGGCACTTCTTGACTTGCAACTATTTCCTCTTAGTAGAGTAAAAAACTGGGATGCAATTAATCACTGCACCTACATTTTCGCTATATAAATAGTAGACCGTAAACAGGATTCCCTCCTTTCTTACAACGACTAATCAGGCATACACTAGGCTTGTAATTACTGGTTGGTGAAAGAGGGAAAAATTGAGCGTTACCAAAAATAGGCCTACCTCAAGAATGAGTTGTGTGTCCTTCGGAATCTCCTTCATTATGTCCAGGGCCTTCTGCCACAGGGGCAGGGAGGGCAACTTCGCTCGCTCCGTCCACTTGACGATCTCCGAGATGGGCAACTGGTAGCGCATAATGCGTTGCACCGGTTGCATAAGTAGCGAGACCACATCCTCCTTATCCCCCACATGCACACGCCACTCATCGAAGAACTCCTTGTGTTGCTCTGCAATGTGAGCCGCCTTGATTTGATTCTCGCAGTATTTCGAGTAGATGGAGCGGAGACGAGCGCGCGAATCAATGAAGAGCTTGGGAATGCGATCTGGATCCTCTTCTAATAGGGTGCGTAACTTCTCATAGAAGCCCGTATGCCACTCAAATAGTTGCATCCAGTTACCCCAGAGGATACGCCATCGAGCCACCAAATCCTCAGGTACTGCTGGTCCTCCTGGAGGTAGCTTACTAGCGAGTTCCTCAAAGCTCGAAGGGCTAACGGGAAGAGCAGAGGAGGCGGCGGCAGTGGAACTTGTGGAATCGGAGTTTGGAGGCATCCGATAAGGCGCCGGCATGTAGAGCTCATAGACCACACGTAATCTGCGTACGTAGCTCTCTTCCGAGTAGGCCAGTTCCATGACAGGTTGCTTGCGCTTTTCGATGGCTTCCGCGATAGCCTCGGCTTCACCATTTACATCGGCTGAAGCGTTATTCTCCGTGGTAGCGGTAGTACTGGCTGGAGTGGGTGAGGGCTGTTGATCACGATCGTTGAAGGTGGGATCATCAGTGCGAAGGACGTCTGCCGTTGGATTGGGGCTGTCCGCTTTCGCACACACTGACTCACCGTCTAAGAAATGAGCCTGTTTTTCGTCTGGTGGCTTTTCTTTGACTATTTCCACCGACATTTGTGCGTGCTGAAAAATGAGACAAAATATTTAGTAGATTTGGATTCTGGAGACTATTTCTCAAAGCGACAATAAAGGGTTTTTACTGCACGAAAAAATAAACTAAAGGCGAAAACATCATTTAAATAAGGACCACGCCTGTGATTTATAAATCAAATACGGGGTTTTTCTGCTCCGCATGGGAGAAAAAACTGGATTTTGTTTAGCAAACGAACTCTATGTATTTGTTTTGTGATAAGTCCATTCTCAGTCAATTATACAAACTGGATTCATAGGATTAAGTTTTGTTGCCACTCTGCAAAAATGAGGCAATAAATCTTAGCTTTATGTTATTTAAAAATGTATGAACCAGCTTTCCCATGTTCTGGTGCACGACATTCTACAATGTGGATTGTGAAAAAAGACCAAACGGTTCATGTGGTTCAAAAATGGCTAAAAATAGATTAGGCGCACTACTTTGGAAGAGCCTAATAAAAGGGAGAGACGTTGAGGTTAACTAAAGTCAAATGTACGCAAGCGAAAAAGGCTGTTCAAATAGAACTATCTACACTAAACTTTAAACTAACGATAGAGCTGCGAATATGCTATCAATATTGTGTTAAAGAAAATATCCTAATTTTAAACAAATCTACTAAGGGGCTTGTTCTATCAAGGGGCCAAAAGGTAAAAGCAAAAAGCTACCACCGTATAGCTACGGAAAACTATGAGTTCAAAAACAGCGAGGGACATAAGAATAAATACCGGGACAGAAGGAAAATAGATGTCTCAATTTTTGTGCAACCGGTGAAATTAAAAAAAGCAAAAGTGCTAAAACCCGATTGTGCCAAATTTGAAGAAACCCATAGTTGGTACAACATAAAGCATAGTTTTAGGAACGCAATGTAGAAACTATGCATAAAATTGATGACACAGTTGTACATTGGAATTGCAATCCTGGGATATCTAAGCAAATCTGCCACGGATTAAGCATCACGCTCATGCCTGCGACGAAATATGCATAAATGTTCACCATGCTGCAGAGTGCAACCAGCTGATACAAAAGCATTTTCAGATAATATTACCAACAATGGTCGCAAACTTTAAAAAGGAGAGAGTCGGCACAAATTAGCACAAAAGTTGATGTACCCTGGGCAAAATGGGAAGAAATATCGCTTGAAAGGGGTGGAAGGTGCCAGTCGGTATTTTGTAAGGGAGCGTTTATAAACAGCTCATGAAGCTATACTACTATAAACAAATTTGTAACCTTGAGGTGTTATTTGTGTGGAGTTTGTATTAGAATTTACATTAAATTGTATCAAGTTACTTTTACTTTTGTTATCATTTTTTATTGTTTATTTTAAATACAAACTGCTGCGTGTGTATTAACTCTTGATAGGATTTATTAAATTGCATCTTGATACCACTGTCTGTATGCGACAAATATCAAATAAATTTGCAGAAATTATGTACACATCAATTTTCTTTGTGTAAGCAACTTTGTGCAGTAAATCATGCAGAACTGGGTGGTTGAAAAATTAGCCAAAAGTTGTTATGAATTTTGAATTTGTTGTTACTGAAAGAGTGCCATTATATCGTAGAGCCCCGAGACTTCCCTAAAGACGAAAGAAGGAGCGATATTTAAGCAGGCTACAGCAGGGCTTGGGGCTACTAGCATGTCCCTGAGGCCAGCCCACCCGAAGAATTTACAGTAGAGGAGACACAATGTGGTTCTTTACCAAAACCAAGAATTAAACCCCAACCTGTTACAATTTGTTTGCCACTTATGATTAGCAATACTGTCAAATTTTTGGTCTTAATATTCCTCCTCTGTAGATCCGGAAAATGTTTTCCCTTTTGACTTTGGTAGTTTTATTACAATGTTATTGTTTCTACCTAATTTTTCAGTATTCCATGTCTATTGTAGCATATCAAGTCATCGCTAGTGTCCTAATAAACTGAAGTAGCAAATCAGAATAGATGTTAATAGTGTAAATAGGATCTGGTAGGCTTTTAAAATGCCTCGAAGTCCATGCCGCAGAGCGAAACTGGGACTTGTGAAGACCACAATGCATTTGTAATTAAGAACACAATTAAGTAAACTAGAAAGTCACTATCCCCGCTAGTCTTTGATCCACCACTTTATTTACTTCTATGACTTCCCGAAGTAGTCTTTAAAGGAACCTACTTTATTGTACCTAGATGAAAAATTGCATTAAAATGCCATTAAATGAGACTACATGCTGTGCGCCCGTAGTTCATATTACCGGTAAAAGTAGTGGTTTTAATTACTATGATACCATTACTACCGTTACCATTTCCGTTTTATGGGAGACAATATTTCACTGGTTGTATTTCATCTCAAGGAAAGGAAGTTATTTTCGCATCATTACTCATCTTTCAAGCATCGAAACCGTGATTTCCGGGGCATATTTGGCAAAAAACGGGAATAATTTTCACCTACTTCAATTTCCCCCCTATTTAAATGACCATTAATGATGCTTACAGCATTAAGTACTATCAAGTGTAATCGACATTTGTTGAACAACAACGTCTGGGTAACGCTGTCAAAGAGAATGTGGTAGTGCTACTAATCTCATGGAGGCGATGTTGTCCGGGCCGCAAACTTACCTAAACAACAACAGTTATATAAATATGTATTGCATAGGTGTGGTTGAATTCCAAGAATGACAAAAATCGTTTGGGTTTATTAAAAGCTAAAATGGATTTGCACTGCAAAATAACGTAATTCTTTAATTGTTTGTTTGTTCGCAAGCACCTGAGGCACCGCCCTTGAACTTCCTTTTGGAGGCGTGGCCCAGAGGCCAAGCCAGCGGCCTCTCTAGCCCTAATGTACGTCGGCAATACGTATTCCGCCCTATCATTTGATCACCTTTCGCCTTAAAGGAAGACTTGGGGCTCTGCAGTAGCTCTCAAAACGATTTGTAACTTTGCTAAAGGTGAAGAAACAGGACTCAGACTTGCATCAGGAGCAGATCCCCCAATAAAAGGTTTTATTAAGAGGTTTTCTCCTCCCGGTTAATGTTAATTGCTGAATGCTATAGTCCCACAGCGTCTCCACTGGGTGTGTTATGCAAATGAGACGACTTTCCTACTGCCCTTTAAAAGTTACTGTGGTGTAGTCGTGTTTACTTTACCCCATAGAGTTATACATCTGTTGATCAATCGTTAACATCTATGAGTCAGGCATTTTCCCAAATTTCAATTAGGTATCATCAGGAATAAATTTTTCGGAACCGGTTACATGACTTTGTCGGTCACGGAGACTTGTCCATGTCCAAAAACCGCGGTGCTTTCAAAAAGTTACACGTTTGTCATCAAAACACTAATGAAGCTCGTGATTACTGAGAGCCTTACATGGTTTTCTTTGCGTGATTTCACGATAAAACCTATTTTGGCTTTTCCGAAACCCCCTTTAATTTTCAAGAACGCTTTTGATTGAATAATTTGCTTACCTATTTAACTTAAATAGTACGTATATTTTGGGCTTGCAAGGCGTTATTGGCATTACAAGATCACATCATTTACGCGCTGACGCAAGTACCCCGACAGTTATTTACCTCTTAAACACGAGTTTCGCACCGCATTTTTTAAGAAAGCTCTGACAGAAGTGTGCCGATAACTTAAGTAAGCTCACGTATAATCAGAGCAAATGTGGAACCACGCTCCGCCAAGACTTCGAGGTCACTCGAAGGTGACATCGATCAATTTCCCTGTGGTTTAAATCACCCGCCAGAAACGCACGGAGTGATGTGTGAATGTCGCTTGGGCGCAGCCGCATTTGGTAGCGTTAGCCGTAACTCCCTCACCACGAGTCAGGAGCGGCCAGACGTGCCCTGTGATCTGGCCTTCAAGTTCATCGAAATCGAGCAATGCTGTCACTTGACGTTTCCCGATCGGTATAACTATAACGAGTTTCCTCGCCTCTGTCCTGTCCATGGATGCCTTTCCAAACCCAATGTACAGAGAGAGGTCTCCTGTTTAGAGAATTGTCTTTTGCACTGTCAATCTAAATTGCCTCAAAAATTACCCAAAGTCGAAAATGGACTCCCTAAGACTTTTGACAGTGTTGAGAGCTACCTGAAGCACATCCATGACTGTGATTTTGCCTACCCCCAAACATCTCCTGGTAACCCCGGTTCGGCAGCAGATCCATTCGATAAACGCGTCAAGGCACTTCAGGTCGATTGCATGATTTCTCGACCCAAAAGCCCTCCTGTCATAGAAACCTTCTCATTTCGATCACGCAGACCGGGTGAAGTGGGGATGACGAAGCCCACCTTTTTGGAGGGGGTTCGCTCTCAGGCGTATAAATACTGTCGTGATCTTGGATTAGTAGACGAAACCGCCAGACTATTCATTGCCGAATTGAGACACACATTCCCCGAGGGCTACGTCGAGCGTCCCGCATGGCAACATGTAACTCTCAACTTTCGACCCAACACCCTTGAACATCTCATGCTGAGAGCCTTCCCAGGGGACAAATACTTTGTGTGTGGAATTCGATATCAGGACTTTAACACCCCTGTTGATTTACACTTTGGAGACCAGGTTGTAGAGATAATGCCAACCTGGATACAGGAACAAACAACAGAGGCACCGAGACAACAAGGCCACGCGAGTAACATGGACAACTTCCAAATCATGATTGTTCCCTCACCTTTCCTGCAAAAGATCCAACTGCGAGTCTATGATTGTCCCATCATTAATGAGTTTAACATCAAGAAGAAGACTCGGGAGAATACAAGAAGTCATCGAGATTTGGGCTTCACTATCCACCGTGGTCGCATTGTCTACATTGATAGGGCTTCGCCCGCAAAGATGTCCGGATTCGAGCCGGATTATCAAATAGTTGAAGTGGCTGGCGAATCGGTGTTGGAGTATGATGACTCCCACATCATACGACTTATTCGAACCGCTATCGAGAGGAGTTCCACGAGAGCAACGGAGTTAGCGTTGGTTCCATCGAGAATCTACGATATCCTAATGGATCCTCGAAAGGGCAAGGTCTGCACCATCGTTCGCGATGCCGAATTCGATGTAAATGCGTGGAGTGACAACAAGGTCTTCGGTGTGAGGTAAAGCTATTGTTCTTCAAAAAACATTCATTAAATAACCAAATATCAAAGGGAAACTTTTGGAAAGGTTAATAAAAGAAGTTTTCCTTGTTTGCGGGGCTGAAGTGCTCCGTGCCCTTGATTAGCAAGAAGCATTTAGCGTTCCGCGTCAGGAAGATGGACTGGGTGGCAGATCGTAGTCGTAGTTTCAGCTGCTTTGTCTGTGCTGGTCAGGGTAGGTTTTGTAGACATCCTCTCAGTGTATACGATTAATAGTTCTCATGACATGGCGATGGCTAATGACAGCTAGAAGCTGGACTGTCAGCATTGAACGGATGAATTTCGTCACGTTGATTTTTTCATTTATTTTTTTGGCTAAATGTCTACCGAGAAGTTTGTGCCGAGGTTAGTTAACTAGCTACTTATAGACCTAATCCATCTATGCATTTTTGCATAATCTACCTATCCAGCCGCAATTTGAAGCTCTTCCATCCATCTATCCAATTCGGGAGCGGTCATGTATTTAGTCATGATATCATCCCGGATTCGTCCGGGCTAGATGCATTCATAAATAATCCACAAGTCCTCCGATGATTTGCCTAGTTATCTAGATCAGTTTGACCAAACTATGAATCACTGATCGACATTTTTTGGTTGGTCTCCAAACCACCCACGTACTTTTTAGTACATCCATTCCTCCGTTCACATATGCCTGATATATCCGTAAGGTACCGGTACATTCATTCATTCATTCATTCCCAGTTCATCTATCGGTCTCTTCCTATCAATCGCATTGACGCCTGATTACTTAATCCATCCATCCCGTATCCATCCATCCATCCCGTATCCATCCATCCATCCTTTCATCCTGTATCCATCCATCCATCCATCCCGTATCCATCCATCCATCCATCCTTTCATCCTGTATCCATCCATCCATCCATTTTTTGTGATTATGAGTGTGAAGCACTTGCTCGCACTTCATTCCTTATTAATATTTGTTTCAACTCAGCTTTCCTACACGACTCATTTAAAACAATAAAATATGCCTCCCGAATTGGGCCTTTTCTAATAAACGACGATGTATTATGCATTTATTAGTGTTACAAACTAGCTGCACACTTATACTGCTTCCATGCCAAGCGTCACGACGGAAAGCAGCATTTCAACTCGATTTTAAAGGCACCCTTCTGAATATCATCAAACCAAAATGTGTTTTTGCAGCGCTGATGACGACGCGACTGACCAAATCCTCGAACAAAATTAGAACTCAAAAAATTATTTTTCACTTTCAAGCATGCCCATTGCAAGCACAAACGTGACATGGCCGTGTCTTGACGTAACACGAAAGAAGTTAAAAATAAGTTTTATTTTACCAACTCAGCAGAGTCTAGCTCAGCTTTTCCGAGCGCATAGAAACGCATTTCTGATAAAAGCTATTTTTTGGGCCAAAAAGTCTAATAACCATTCAAGCAGCCTAGTGAACTCCCCACTTGATGGCATGGACGTTCAGCAAGTCACGTTAGCCTCATGTGACTTCCATTTACTGCCTGAGGTGAATTTTTGCCTCGAAAAAGGCCTCCTACACCAAATTACGGCAGTAGATCATTTGTAAAAAAAAGCATTTTGAGATTAATTAACACTTTAATGGCAAAATTGCCAGTGACTTGTACATATCTTAATTTAGTAACTGCATGACACGTGACGACCAAACTAAACGAGAGGCAACGGATACAAAAGCGACTAATTAGATGTTTTGACACTTTAGCCTTTCCTTCAAGCTAATCCGCTTCATTCAACTATTTTCAGCTTTTGGGCAAAATACTACTGACTTGACACCATTAACGCATTACTGTTGGTCATTTTTAATTTAGCAAACGTCAACTATTGAATTAACTGATAATTGCTTTTCCACTCACTGATCCAATATACCTTAGAAACTGATTTCCCAACACTTATCTTCTGATTTAATTGAAAAAAAAATTGGGGCCGACTGCCCACCACCTACTGATTAAATCCAGTTTTGGATTGTCAAACATCACAGTCAAAACGGCAATCGATTTTCTATGGTTAATTACACCAACCCTCCTTCATCGTGCCTTTGTTGAAGCCGATGTGGGGTATAACAAGTGGCCGAGGCGCCATTTCATCCCGTCAAATTTCTACATCCCCTATTGGTTCAAGTAGCGAATGGACCAACCAATCAGATGGCCTCTGTGGGCTAAATTTAGCAGTTCAGTGATGGATGGCTCTGCGGCTGTTAGTAAGTCCTGCTGACCTGGTCCTTTACCAAATGGCAGGCAGCGCGAACTAGATACTGTTTCAGTGCACTACGTGAGGTGCACGCATAAATTTCTAGCTTTCTGAATATTAGGGTAAGGACCAGGATACAACAATCGTATAGTCATTAAACATACGCGTACCGTCCCGTGCCATCGGTAGCTTATATTTGAGACATGAAAGTTTTGCTCAATCTAACCAAAGGTAGAGAGGTGGGATTCTCGGTCTTAGTTTTGTGAGTAATAGACAGGGAGGGTGAGATGTGGATTTATATTGTTTTAGTTTTGTGGGGCGGGTAATGAGTTGCAACATTAGCGGCAGCAGCAACAGAAGGAACAAGATAGGAGAGTGCGGGCCAAACTTATCCCCTTTACTCATTCCTCTCTCGCCTCTACTAATGAGCTTACTCCTCGGCGGCAGAAATCGCCGGCAGCAGCGTCGTGGATTTTCACAGCGACAGCGCGTTCGATAACTCGCGTGCGCACGTGCATCCTGCGTGCATGGGTTGGTGCATTTGCCTGCTGGTTGCATGCACGCACCCATGCACTGAATGCGTCCCTGCAGATATGTGGACATATGGGCCAGTGGGCGTAGCCACACGCGCTTTGGCCAATAGCGTGCGGTGACTCATAGTTCAGCTAGATGCTGCTGTTACAGGATTTTCCGTCCCTCGCTTACTTGCCTATCCGCCCGCCTGCGCGCCCTCTCCCTGCGCCCACCCGCTTGCCTGCCTCTCTCACTCCTCTTCGTCAAGTCATCAGAGATGCCGAAGCATTTGCATAACTGCTGCTGCTGCTAAAGCATGCTAATTTGGCTTGCATAGGCACGAGGATTAACAGAGGGGAAAATTTAAATAGCGCTATTGCCCGCCCACAACTCTAAATGTAGCATTAAATCTCACCAAGTAAAAACACTGAATCGCATACGCCGACTGCCACCGTCGCAGCCAAGCGGTGAAAAAGCCGAAGTATCGATTTTAGGGCATCGCATTTCGCGCAGCAATAGCGGCCACTCCTGTCATCACATGATAAAGAATTATTTTAAACCTAAAAAAAGATCCTTGCAATTATTAGCCATTTTTGATTGTCACAGTAGTCTAGACGTAGGGAACAGATGTTCACGCTTGTGGGGCCTTGTCACCAGCATGGAGTAACTGCTTGGTCTGCACTCGACAAATGCTTTTTTCCCCTTTAAAAGTAAACGCTTCAGCACTGCCGTCTGAAAGTAAGGAGGCAAATCTAAGGCCCCACAAATTTGCACCTCTGGTAAAATTTAAGCACACAAGGCGAACATGCTATTCCTCCACCTGTACTTCCTTGTACTATTAACGAGAATCACTTTCTTTGTTATTTCCCATTCTAGTCCGGTGGAGAATCCAATCATTTGATGTTAAGACCTCGGAACATGCCCACCCTCCCCTGTGCCTCCCAGTCTTCATTCCTTCTTGTGGCAAATTTTCCAATCAACTAGCCAAAGCAATGGAATGTTTCCTCAGTTTCCATGCCTGCAGGTTGGTGTGTCGTGAAGCGATACACGGCTAGTAGTGTGTTACGTTTGCTTGTTCAATACATTGTGCGCTTAAAGCGTGAGAGGGTGAGATGACGATATGACCTCCATTCCAGCACGGCAGCGGCTGACCAAAAGGACTTGGCAAAATGACCTCATGGGGGGATTCAATATCTATTTTCATTTGAGGGCGCAAGAATGATAGAAATTGGCTTGGGTATGGCATTCGCATGGTCACTGGTCTCCAGCATATGCGTGGTTGTGCTTTCTTTCTTTCCCATAGGATAAAGAGAGTGCGAGAGGGTAGGCATTACTCGCATGCATTTGTCTCCTAGCGATAGTGTTGCCACGGTAACCAAAGTGGCGTTCTACACCGCACAACACTCGCCATTCCATATTTGTCCCATGATGTGGCGTTTTTTGTCCTGATGGCACAATTAGTTGGGGAGTAAGGGATAGTGGCAATAGTCGTAATAGGGGTGTTCCGCCTCCTTGCATCACTCCTTCTCCGACTCCACCCAAAGGACTTTGAGTGGGGTGGGGGAAGATGGCACGCAAGTCCGTACGTGCATGTCCACACGCCCTTTTAACAACGACCAACTGCATTAGCCGTATCAAAAACAGACCAGTCGATGGGGGTCTAGTTGTAGTGCTATTGCCATCGCGTATAGAGTCAAACGGAGTATAGTCCATTTAACCAATCATGTAGGGAGCCGTTGGATTTGGTCTTGGGCAAACCAATCGAAAACGGTATTGGCGGATGAATCCCCTCGTCTTGATAACCGATTTTGTACCGCTTTTCGTTGGAGATACCTGTAAGCTAACATTTGAATACCGACTCAGCAAATAATAACGATACTAATTTTGGTCGCCATTAAGTTTGGATTCTTGTTACCCAAAGGCTCTTGATGTCACAAAAACTTTGAAAAGGTCTGAGAAGCCCTTCGAATTCGGTCATTTTTGTGTCGGCTGAAAGCAATGTGACCACGACGGTGGGAATTTGGGCAGTTCCTCTGGGGAAATCAATCTGAATACGCTATAGCCGCCTAGTCAAGCTACACGCAGCTCATAAACTTAATTTGGGTTGGAGAAGAGGTGAAAAGGCTCTGGAACACAAATAACTTCGGAGCAGCACGTTTATACATTTACAGGGCGAGCTTCAACGCAAACAGGAAGCCATTAATATCTGTGTGGTCTTGCAAACAGGCTCTTTATAACTTAAGCCTTTTAAAGCCACGATGGATGTGAAACGGAAACTATCGCCTGCCGGTTGGTTCAGTTTTGCGGACTCGTTGGATAAGCGCCAATCCAAGAACAGGAGAAACTCAAGCCCAGGAAACCCTGGAATTGCTGCACCGTCTGTCGGGGTAATCCACCCAGAGTTCTGGGTGAATTTAAGAATTTGGCATTGGCGGTTAAACCTTCGTATTAAAAAGGTGGATTCAGTTATTTTGAGCTTTCAAAGCCCATGAACCGATTAAAATTATCTATGAAACATGGAGATGGTAAATATTCAGAGCTTGATTTAGATCTATTCGATGAGCCCATGGCAATTATGTCATGAAGATGGTTCACTTAGCAAGAAATATCCTGGGGCCGTCAAAACTCACCATTATGACTTCAAAGGCCACTCCAAAATTCCCACCTGTGTGACAGAAATGGGGGATGTACCAGGGATTACATGGAGCATGCTTCGAACAAGACCACACACGACCTCCTTCCCCACTTTAACCTAAATGAATAACTTCACAGCCGTGAAACACCGAAATCGAGACGCTTCCATTAACGGCTCAGTGGTAGCTCCATTAAGGAGACATCGACTTTTGTTTCTCCACTGACTCGATAAGGAACCTCCCTATGCAATCATCAAAGCGAAATTTTGTGTCGCAGCAAGGTGCACTGCGTTTATAGGGCAGACTAGTGCAACTTCTGTCCCTTCTTTTTTTTACCTTGGAGGCTATATCGTAGAGCGTTTCACAATTGCCAAGTCCCCAAACTCCTGAACACACCTCCGGGATATTGAGCATTGAACCCTCCTCGCAGTGATTCGGCAGTGGGCTTAGCGATGGCAAGCACGTTGGGGCACGGTAGGCTGAACGTATATCTGTTGTTCTGTTTAAGAAATAACTTTCTATAACCTCTGCAACCAACTCCACAAATCGCAGTATTGACAATAATGACAGCAGAACAGGCAAACGTTCTCCCAGAGCACATGTGCCTGGAGAATCCTCGGAACGTAGCAATTTCTAACGTAGAGATGGATTTCAAAGCTAGTGAACACCAAACTACCCACCTTGACTCATTAAACAAATCCTCAGCGACTGGGTAGCTTACCACCTCCATTAGCCCTGCAGTGGTAAGTGAACACAGGAGAAGGTGGATGGCGCCTATGCTCGTCGCTTCGGTAAGCTGCGTTTCCCCAGACGCATCCAAGCGCGATCCCGTAGACACACAAGCGACTCCGTAGAAATTATGAGCAAT